AGGATTAAAAAACCCCCAAACAAAACAAAAACTGAAAAAATGAGAACTGGAGACCTAAATACCTGAATGTGGTGAAATTGTCACTTATCAGAGCAGAACCAAACAGCACAGCCTTCAGCTAGAGCCAGTCTGAGAGCTGCAAGACCAGAAGGGGAAGGGAAGAAGCTTCGAGGAGGGGGCAGAAACAGAATAAATTAAGTCAAAATAAATTATAAGCGGCCTGGCCTAGTGGAGAGGCACAAGCATGGTGGCTGATCAGCTACAGATGGAGACTGTCATTTTCCTAGGCTATCGGTGACTAGCAGGCAGTGATAAAGAGGAGGGGCTGTCAGGTCTGCGGGGAAGAGAACCGGAACCATTTTGCTGTGTAAAAAGTCACCATGCTACATGTCATGGCCCACGAAGGGCTGATTATATTAAAGCATAAAGAAATAGTGGCTCAGAACTATGATCTCCAACTATCAAGAAAACTTTGAATAACGTTTGCATATTTTACTAAAGAAGGAAAATAAGTTTGTAGCATATGCGGTGTTTCATTTGAAAGTGAAAGTTTGAGTTAAAAGGTTAAATTCAGTGATCTGGAAAAGTGTTACATAGAGCCATGTATTCCTTGAAATATTGAGAAATTATTGTGCACATCACTATTGAGATGAAAAGATTGGAAATTAGATTTCACAGAACGAAAATCATTGCTGGGGGCAATTTGTGAGACAGCAATGTTGAAGCATAAAAGGAGTAATAATAAAGATGAACACACACAGAGATACACATACACACACTCACACGCTCACACAGACATACACCAACTCACATACGCACACACACATACACTCTCACATTCACACACGCACTTACTCACACACGATCAATGCTCTCCCGGTTCCCTTTATTCTTTTCCCTCCCTTGCCTTTTTCTAGAAAGAGCTGTATTTGCTACCCTTCCTGTTTCAGGAGTGCTAATGTGAAATTTATCCAGGTGGGAGGACTAGGAGGAGAGAGGCGTTGGCCGAATGAAAATTCATAGCAGAACAAGGGCTCTGAGAAAGCTTTTCTCTCCCTTCTGTGTCATCAAGGGACTTCTCTCTCCCCCACTCCCCATTTCAACTTGGCCTTAGGCACACATTTCTAGGGCTTTCTGTGCTCATGTATTATTGACAAGTAACCCCTTTCTCCATTCCCATGGTGCGCTGAATGAGTCCTGCGGTGATCTTGCGCTTTAGAAAGGGGAAGTTGTGAATAAGAGTCTGTTATTTCATCATCTCAGCAAGCAGAACAACTGCCTGCCTGCCTACCTGTTGTTTACTAACTGGATGGACACTGACAAAATGTCATTAGGACAGGAGGTCTGGGATCTGTAGCTTCAAGCCACTCTATCTCTAGCCCCTTCAGAGGAGAGACTGCTGGGCCCCAGGAGATGGCTTTGAAGGAGGAGGGTGGGTTGCAAGGGATCAAGGCCATGGCAGTGGGCTGGATGGAGATCACCTCGGAGATCCCTGGAATGCATTATTTGTCTTCTCACTTTCAAAGTATAGGGTTCTAAGGCACATGCCTGCGAGGAAAGGAAAATAGAGCATTCTGAGCTATGTGAGGTATGTGAAATTTATCAGGCCCAGAGAGACAGGAGTATAGAACTTCAGTCATTCCCTCCCCACCCTGCATCCCTGCCTGGGGGTAATTTCTTAAAGGCATTTTGCTCCGAATTAGCTGCCTAATATATTATCTTCATGTTCCCGTAATCTGTGATACAAAGAAGAAGGTATAGCCAATTGATAGCTTAGGTTGTTTTAACATAATTTCTTGTAAACAAAAACTGCGTTATTCTTTGCCTTTAAAAATCCATCTGAATGCTCTCCAGGGCTGCAATTCTTAAGCTTGGACCAAATCAGCTCTCTACTTATGTTAATTTTGCCACGGCGTCTTCCTTTTAGTTGACATCTGAGATGCCTGGAACGTTGAGGGGACAGGTAAACATTGAGACAGTGAACAGATAAAGTAACGAGAATTAGAAGGTCTTGAGTTTAGAGAGAGCTTTGTGTTTGCTCTCTGACGTTTGTTTACTGTGTGTGAGGCTTTTACAAGTGAATCCCAGGGTGGGATAACAATAGTGGCCCGGGGGGCACCAGCTGCCGGCTAGGCTTTGGGTGCCGAAGAATTTCTGGACATTTTACAGGCTAATTGATTTTTAAAAACTGCAGTAGTTCTGTGGGAATTCCTCTGCAAATTTTAAAATAAGTTGTAGGAGTAAAAAAGTAAGACTTTCTCTCTCTCTCTTTTTTTTTCCAAAGAGCAAAAATGAGCCGAATTTAGAGCTAGTTTTGAAAGCATTTTCTCACTTTGTCTTAGGAACGGAGAGTGAGGAAAATCAAGTGTCATCAGCGCTGGCTGTTTGAATGTGGGTGCGAGGAAACACAGAGCCCTGCCTTGTTTCAATTGAGCAAGACAATGCAAGAGATTTAGAGATTTTAGGTCATAAAGGACGCATGGGCGCCTTGGTTACAAAGTTCATCCTATTGCCGTTGAGGCATCTGTTTTCCAGTGACTATAACCCTGGTTTCCTGAATCAGGGCTGCCTGCTGCGGTGGGTCACAGAGGGAACGGATCATGGACCAAACTGTGGGTGTTGGGAGCCACGTGGTGGATTAAGAGGAAGATGAAGAGGAGGAAGAGGTTAAATTGGGCTCGAGGACGGGAGCAGACCTAGGGGTTTTCAGGAAAGTGAAGATGCAGGGCAGAAAGGCAGTCAGAAACACCATTCAAAGAGTCAACATGGTAACCCGGGAGGTGGAGACAGATTCCTCCAAGGCTATCCCAGGACTAATCTCTCATTTCACTTTCAGACTTAAAACTAGGAAAAATGTGTTCTCTTTCCTTTGAGCTCAGGCAGGCTATCAGCCTAGCAGACCTGCATTAGTTTCATCCTTTCTTACAGGCCTACTCAAGGCTCTGCCAGGATTTTTGTGAAAGTCTCAAAATATGACCCTCTGAGCTATTTTTCCAACTCTCTTTCCCAGAGCTCTGGGGCATGCCTGGAGGGAGAGAGGAAGGCTGAATCCTCTTCATCCTGCCTTTCAGGTTTCCTATCTCAGGATTCCTGCTAATATTTTCTTTGGGGAAAAAAAGGGAGTTCTGTTGATTAACAAAACATTTGAAAAATCACCCATCCTTTCTCTTCTCCTCATTTTACAAATGAGGAAACTGAAATCAAAATAGGTTAATAGACTGACCCAGGATTCTGCCATTAATGGTACAGATTGAGTTACAGCTCAATTTTTCAACCACCAGGGCACTGGTGATGATTTTCAAGGAGAACTAAGATAAAGAGAAGAAGACTGAGTGTTAAATGCGCTAGCTGCATTTCTATTTTAAACTACGCATATGTACATGGTGACAATCCTCCATGTTTCTGTGATATATCTATTTAATAAGGGTATAGTGGCCTGTGGGCTGGAGGAGTTTAATACATTCTTTTTTTCTTATAGGGTTATAATACAGTAGTTCTAAACACTTGTTTTGCTGGTTTGCTTCTTTTATGAAAGCGGAATCAAACTCAGATTTCTTATTTTAGATAATTCAGTTGATGACTGAAATTTAACCAAGTGGTGAGTTTCTTCAAATTTTTCAGAACGGCCCTTAAGAAACAGAAATAGGCTGAGCACCGTGGCTCACACCTGTAATCCCAGCACTGTGGGAGGTCAAGGTGGGCAGATCTCCTGAGGTCGGGAGTTTGAGACCAACCTGACCAACATGGAGAAACCCCATCTCTACTAAAAATACAAATTAGCTGGGTGTGGTGGCAGGCACCTGTAATCCCAGCTACTCAGGAGGCTGATGCAGAAAATTGCTTAACCCAGGAGGTGGAGGTTGTGATGAGCCGAGATCGCGCCATTGCACTATAGCCTGGGCAACAAAAGCGAAACTCCATCTCAAAAAAAAAAAAAAAAAAGAAAGAAAGAAACAGAAATAATTATGCTTATGACTTAAAAAATTTATAGTAATACTTAATTTTTCCCACTTTCTCCCTTTTTCCCAACTTGAAAGCTTAACCTCATTTGGTCATCTTCCATCCAACCTTCAAACATCGTCTGTACTGTGCTGTTAGGTAGTAACCATGCAGTGTGTGTCTTTAGTAGGGAATCAAACGCAGCCACTATCTAGGGGTGAATAAAAATATCTAATGGCATCAGCAAACCAGTATAAAGCGCATAATAGAAAAAATTTAAACTTGGAATTCCGCCTTCTTTTCCGGTTTCTCTGATGTTAATATTTTCTGGGAAGAATCCTCAAGGCTTGTCCTAGCTACCGTCTTCCTTGTCCCAGGTGTTGCAGTTACTAAGGTGGGCAGGACGTCCTCCTGGCCTTAGCGAGTGTACCCGAGAGTTATATAAAGGATATTCTGGGAGCCAGGAGCAAATAAAGCAGACTGCACAGATGGCGCCTGGAAAGGCTTTTAACAGAAATGAACACTTTGAGACCAGTTGTGAAGGACTGAGTAGGAGTACACCAAAAGAGAAAAAGCAGGACAAAAGAAGCACGGTGTTGGAAGCTCAAAGCTGCACTGGAAACACAGTCTTCCAGGATGTCTTGAAAGGGGCAAGTCTGTCTGTGTCGGGTAGCAAATGCAGAGAGACAAACGGACAGAGAAGAGACTGCAGAGGGCTGTATGTGCTGAGATGAGAGTGCAGGCTAGATTTAAAAAAAAAAATTTTTTTTTTTGTAGAGACGGGGTTTCACCATGTTGGCCAGGATGGTCTTGATCTCCTGACCCATGATCTACCTGCCTCGGCCTCCCAAAGTCCTGGGATTACAGGCATGAGCCACTGCACCCGGCCAGCCGAGTAGATTTTTAAATCGAGAATGCAACAGGGAAGGATTTCAAGCTTGGAGTGAGAGGGAAGACTACGAGCCTGCAGTGATAAGGCAAAGCTGAAGATTTCAGAGCAAAGGCCACGCCCTACAGTTGCCATGGAATGGGGTGGCTCAGTTGGCTTTGGAGGTAAAGTCTGCAGTTGAGAAGTTCAAGGGTAGTAAGTACTTAATGCCAGGGTCTAAGGTCAATCATCCCTTTTAAGACACAGATAGCATCTGCAGCGTTTTCAGGGATGGAGATAGAGAAGAAAAGCAGGCAGCTACTAGATGCTCGAATCTTCCACAAATGCCAGGGAGAGAGTCAGGATGCTGATAGAAGAGATCAGTAAAGCTGAGTACCATAAGCCTCAACATGGGTGTTTTTATTTCAAGGTGGGGGAGCTGTGCTTTGGAAAAGCAATGGAAATCTCTTCCCCTCCTAAGTCCTGTGTTCATGGAGGAGGGTGGGAGGCTGAGTTTTCTCCTCTTGAGAGGGAGTTACGTCCAAGTTTAAGGGGAAAGAGTCTGAATTTTCCACCTAAATAATTCTGAGAGAATCAGGTAAGTAGTTGCTTAGAAATAATTACTAAATGTTGCTTAAAGAGATACAGCTCCTCTATGGAGTAACAGATCCTGACTACTCAATAGCTTTTTGCATTTTTCCTGGGCTATGGTGATATTTGCAGCTTTCCTTTACATGTTAATATCTCTAATCTTACCACTGAAAGTGTATTTCTATCAATTTGCCTTCAAGTGAACTGCAGTTTCATATTTGTGATTTAATTTTTACTAAAATGAAATGGCTCATTTTTATTAAAAAATACTATAAAAATAGTAAAAATTACGATTTTACCAAGAATATTATTGCGTGCCGGATGCTGGAGGTATGAAAGGGAACAAGTTAGGAACTATGGCTTCTTCATGGGCAGTTGGTGTGGAGTTTTAGAGGCTTTTGAACACTTAAATTTATATCTTTCTCTTAAGAATCAATAAAAGAAGAGCAACTCTATTATATTTCATCGTCTTCAAAGATCAGTGTGTGTACAACGTTTAAATCCATCAGTATCTAGGCATGACGTTCATCCTTCATGATCAACCAGGCTTAATCTAACCTGTGTTTACTTTTAATTCTTTCAGAATTTGTTGAGATTTTAGAAGCATAGTTTTTGTTCTCCAAGAAATATGTCATTCAAAGTCCCTGAAATTATTTGTCGAGTTGTTGGGCTTTTGTCTCATGCATTTCTTAGCTCTTTGAAACAACTAGAGATTTATCTTTACCCATCTTCCTGTTTTATCTTTCTGAGTCTCATTTTTTTTTATGCAAATCTCTGTGTGAGTATTCTATATCTCTATGACTCTTGGCAGAGGTGAATAACTTTTCCTTTTTATAAGAGGAATACAATTTTCCTCCTTCCCAGTAGACATTAAGCTTATTAGCTTCTTATCTTTTTAATAATTTGCATTATTTTTCTTCAGAGCAACAAAAGTCTGAGTTGGAAAGAGAAAAAATTAGTTTACACCTCAAATTACTTTTATAAAAGGTTATATATTTCCTCTAACAATTATTTAAAAAGCAAACACTGAAAAAATAATGTAATAAATCACAAAAATAAAACTAAAAATGGATTTAATCACAGGTGTAGTCAAACTCCAGTGATTGTTACAAAATCTGTCAAGACTGATATGGCTAAAGTTGTGATTACCACATAAATAATTTTATTATTTTTAAGCACAGGTGTAAAGTTTAAGGAACGTTTAAGAGTAATTGTCATTAGCAAATTATTTCTAAAGTAATCTTAAAATGCCTTACTTATTTATTTGAAAGGGTAGAAACCTCTGGTCATATTTACTTTGTTCTACTCTGATAAAAGGGCATAAGTATCCCAACTATTTTGTGATCAAAACATATATGTGACTGTGTGCATACAAGAATAGACAAGAATTAACACACAATTCCATTAATAACTAGGTATATCCTTGATGGGTACAGTTAGCTGAATATCAAGCAGTTGAATCATTTCATTTTCTTTCTGGAAAAGTTGTTTGTCAAGAGTTGATAAATGATCGTCCTCGCAGCTCAGGGTAACCATGTTACCAATGAAATCTAAGGAGAACTCCACTTATGGGCTTCTGGGAGAGATGTTTCTTTCTGTGGAAAGGGTCAGGTGCAAGAAGACAGCTCCCTGGTTCTGCCCCTTGCCCTGTTTTCCGGCCATGAATGCAATTCTGCAAGAGAATGACTCTGGCTCTGTGGTAGCTATCCTGGTCGAGCCCATGAGGCAATTAGCCTAAGGAAAAAAAAAATTCATCACATATCTTGGATGACGAGACAGAAAATAGAGAAATGGTATGAAGGATGAAGGGAGGATAAGAAGACGACCATGTCTCTGATAACATCAGTTTGTGACTGCACCAAATTTGCAACCATTTACCTAGAGTTTCATTGTGTGTGAGGTCATCAAAAGTTAGCTGTGCTGACGCCCCTGTTGGCAGCTGAATGCTAACTGATACATTATCTCACTCTCTGTCTCATTCCTGATGTCACATTTGATGAGTAAGTATAGCAGATATCCAAACCCAGGTTTTTGAATTCAAAGTCCAGGGTTTTCCTGGTCTTGCTGTCTCCCTATATTGTCATAATCTGGGAAACAAATCCACATACTGTGAAGTAATAACATACACTACTTATTCTGAAGAATTTCCCTCCTCTGATTTAAAGCTCTGTTTCTCTCTTCACCCTCTGGACTTACTCTGCTCGTGGTTTGTCCAGGAAATTTTGGGTGTGAATTTCCCTTTAGAGTCACTTGTGACTTTATTACAACTTTGGGCATGTTACCTTATATTTCCTGATCTTTGTAAGAGGATAATTCATATTAACCTCTTCACATATTTGATACTCTTGTTGGGTAGAGAAGAGGTCATGGGGTGGGGCTTAATTCATTATCAACATTTGGCTTTTTAATTTTATTTATTTATTTATTCATTTATTTATTTACTTTGAGACAGAGTTTTGCTCTTGTTGCCCAGGCTGGAGTGCAATGGTGTGATCTCAGCTCACTGCAACCTCTGCCTCCTGGCCTCAAGTGATTCTGCTGCCTCAGCCTCCTCAGTAGCTGGGATTACAGGTGTGAACCATCACACCAGGCTAATTTTGTATTTTTAGTAGAGATGGGGTTTAACCATGTTGTCCAGGCTGGTCTCGAACTCCTGACCTCAGGTGATCCACCCGCCTCGGCCTTCCAAAGTGCTGAGATTACAGACGTGAGCCATTGCAACTGGCCATTTGGCTTTTCTAAACTAGCGATGTTCCATGGGTGTTCACATATTTTTGTGTGTCGTAAACATTTCATAATGACTACTAATAGGAACACAGATTAGTTTGTAAAGCTTGCGAAATTGCCCTGCTGATGGGAATTTGGCTTGCAAACATTCATGCAGGAGAGAAGGTGGAGATTGAAGGAGCTCAGGATTGCCTGCCAAAGTTGTCTGCATCTCAGTTGGAGAGGATTTGAAGCTTACTTTGAGTCTTTAACAAAGAAACATTTTAATATCAAAGCACAGTAGATATGAATTTAGCATTTGAATCTCAGTTTATTTTTTTCTTATTTACTGTCTACTATATGACATACGAATAGAAATTATACACTGAATAAAGGCCTATAATGAGATATTACATTTCCACTTGGCTTAATTGTAAAGAAATGGGTGTGCTCCACATTTTTCTTCAATGTTTCTAGATATGAAGTGTTAAAGATCTGTATGTAGATGTTTGCCATGTATGTGACTGAAATCTAATTACAGGGTTACTTGTATACTCAAAGAAACCACAGTACCTCCAGTCAGAGCTATGACCAAACTGGGTACTACCATGAGCTTCTTAAGAATGCTGAATTAGGCTGGGCATGGTGGCTCATACCTGTAATCCCAGCACTTTGGGAGGCCGAGGTGGCGGATCACCTGAGGTCAGGAGTTTGAGACTAGCCTGGCCAACATGGTGAAACCATCTCTACTAAAAATACAAAAATTAGCTAGGCATGGTGGCAAGTGCCTGTAATCCCAGCTACTTGGGAGGCTGAGGCAGGAGAATCACTTGAAACTGGAAGACAGAGGTTGTAATGAGCTGAGATAGTGCCATTGCACTCCAGCCTGGGCAACACAGTGAGACTCCGTCTCACAAATAAATAAATAAAATTCAAAAAAATGCTGCATTAGGAAACATGAGAAAGCCCCCTGAGGACACTGTGAAACTGAGTTTTAAGGAAGCAGAGTAGGGATTCGCAAAGATACTGATTAGGGGTCCGAGGACAGTGGGACCTCATCTCTCAGTCAATGAAATGTTTCAATATATTTTTAAAAAAATATGTGTCTGACAGATGGGGGATTGAGAAGCCAGAACAGCAGAAGAAATCACAGAATTGCTTTTTGATTTTAAACCAAGACTTGTCTGGAGATGATTTCGGAACCAGAGTAGATTTCCAAGGGCAGGCATGTTATTATTGGTGTTATTGTTATTAGCTTCTCATAGATGTTGGTTGTTTTCTACATCAGATGCTGCACGTTTTATGTATCATGTAACTTAATCCTCATCAGCACTCATGAATGTAGCCACTATTATTTACTTTATAAATGAGGATATGAAGGTGGAAAGAGATCAAGTTGCTTATCTAGGAGCCTAGAGCTAGTAGGTGGTGGTGTTGATATTTGAACCCAGTCTTGAGAGCCTGTACAGGTAACCACAATTATGAGAACTTACAAGGACAAAAGAGAATTCTCTTCTCGATTTTGCAAGGAGGATCAAAATTTGTGACAGCCCAATAGTATGTGTCAAAATTAAGACAGTAATTCAGGTCTTGTGAACCCAGTTTGAAGTATTTCTAGTATACCTGAATTATTCTTCTCCATAGGGAAGTCATTAAAGGAAGATCAGTAAAGGGTAGATTGCCTTCACGGTCAGGGCAGCAATGGAGAACAGTATTCTCTGGAAGAAAGTAACTATGCATAGCTCATACTTAAGGAGTGGAGAGCTATTCTCCATCTCCTTCAAGGCAGATTATCTTCATATATTGGAATTCTTCTGCACCGGAGAATTGTCTATGGAATCTATAAATAATGATAAGTGTACAAGCACACACATACACTCATGTCCAGAGGAGGGTGTGTGTGGAGACGCTGAATGCTCACAACAGCCACCCGAGGTAGATGCTGCTACCATCCCTATTTCATGAACAGAGGGACAGGAAAGTTAGGTAGCTAGCCGAAAGCCATAAAGGTGGCAACGTATTTAAACTCAGGGATTTCGAATCCAGAGCATGTTTACCTGATAGTTAAGACTTAACCAGATACTCAAGAGTTAATTCAAATATTGTCTACTTTTCCCACTTACTTATTTTTTCAATCGTTTATATCAGTATCAACTCATGGGTATTCATGGTATATGTTGGGTTATAATCCAGAAGAATTTATTTGTCTTTGTGCTTGAACTGTGCCAGTGTAAGCCACTGGGAGCATGTTCTGTTGGCTCCTTTGTCCTCTTGACAGGCCCATAATTGTGGATTTTTTTTTTCTTAGCACTTAAAAAAAAACTTTTCCTTTTAGGGGTACGTGAGCAGGTTGGTTCTGTGGATAAATTGTGTGTCCTGGGGTTTGCTGTACATATTATTTCCTCCCCAGGTAATAAGCATGTACTCAGTAGGCAGTTTTCCGATCCTCTCCCTCCTCCCACCCTCAAGCAGGCCCCGGTGTCCATTGTTCCCTTCTCTGTGTCCATGTGTACTCAGTGTTTAGCTGTCACTTGTAAGTGAGAACATTCAGTGTTTGGTTTTCTGTTCCTGTGCTGGTTCACTTTGGATAATGGCCTCCAGCTCCATCCATGTTGCTGCAGAGGTATGATCGTGTTCTTCTTTCATGGCTGTGTAGTATTCCACAGAGTGTATGTACCACGTTTTCTTTATCCGGTCTACCACTGATGGGCATTTAGGGTGATTCCATGATTTTCCTACTGTGACTACTGCTTAGGACTTCTTTGTTTTCTGGCGTTACAGGATGTCCAGGTGTTCCTGCTTCAGTCTTAGAGTTAGCTATTTCTCCAAGGAGCCCTGGTTCCTTTGACTGAAGAACGGTATTGGAAACCAAGGTTGAGGCACTAGATGTGAATCTTATTTTAAATAGTAACTAATACTTAGAAGTCAAGACAGTGGCTGCCCTTGGAAAGGTGGTGGTGACAGGGAGACGTCCTCAAGAGGCTTCAAGGGTATCTGATCTGTTTCTTGATCTCAGTCCTGGTTGCCTGAGCTCCTTCATTCAGTGAAATTCATCAAGTGTACACTTAGGATATGTGTAATTTCCTGCCTTCATGTTATATTGCAATAGAAACTTGTTTATTTAGAAAATAAAGCAAAAAAAAAAAAAAAAAAACAAGATAAAAACTAATAGTTAACTCTTAACTGAGTATTAGGTAAACATGCCCTGGATTACAAATCCCTGGGTTTAAATACTTTGCCAGCCTTATAGCTTTCGGCTAGCTACCTAACTTTTCCTCGTTCCATTTATAAAACAGGAGTATTATCTGCCTCAGGTGGCTGTTGTGAGCATTAAACATCTCGACACACACCCTCCTCTCGACATGGATATATGTGTGTGCTTATACACATACAGTCACTTATCTTTATTTATAGATTCTGTATTTGCAATTTTGCCTACTTGCTCATGTTTATTTCAAACCTCCAAGTTAATCAGTCGAGTCTTGTGGCATTTTTGTGGTCGTTTGTAGGTATGCACAGTGTAGCAATATTTGAGAATTGCCTGACTCCCATTTCCCAGCAAGCTCAAATAGCTAGATGTCTTGCCTTCTTGTTTCAGCTCTCGTGCTGACAAGGGTCCTTTTCTCTCTCTCTATATATATAATGCCTCGTTTTCACATTTCTGTGCTTTCTGTGGGTGATTTTGATGTCTAACATGTTCCCCATGTGCAGTGCTCAAGGCCTGTCTAGTGTTCCTAAGGGCAAGAAGTCCATGAGGTGCCTTATGGAGAAAATACGTGTGTCAGAGAAGCTTCGTTCAGACATGAGTTACAATGCTGTTGAGCTTAATGTTAGTGAATCAACATTATATATTAAGTAAGAAACACAACTAAAACAAATCATTTGTGAATTGGTGAGTTGATCAAAATGTTGGGACCAGATGCTCTTAGAAACCTGTGTATTTTCCAAAGGAGCAGTGGATCAGTATTTGCTAATGTAGTGTTTGTTACAACTTTACAGAAAATAAAAACTACAAATAATGAAAATCAGTTGTATATATGTGTATATACATACATATCTATATGTAAAAAATCTGTGTATGTCTATCTACCAATAGGAGAACAGTGCCTATTATTATTATTATCATTTTTGAGACAGAGTCTCACTCTGTCACCAGGCTAGAGGTCAGTGGCCCAGTCTCAGCTCACTGCAACCTCCACCTCCCAGATTCAGGTGATTCTTCCACTTCAGCCTCCCAAGCAGCTGGAACTACAGGCACGCACAACCACGCCTGGCTAATTTTTGTATTTTTAGTTGAGACAGGGTTTCACCGTTTAGGCCAGGATGGTCTCGATCTCTTGACCTCGTGATCTGTCTGCCTTGGCGTCCCAAAGTGCTGGGATTACAGGCGTGAGCCACTGCTCCCGGCCGAATAGCGCCTATTATTTATTATTAATATAATAAGCCCTTAACAAATGTGTCTAGCTATTATAATCTACGTATCTGAGTAGAATTGCTCTGCAGTCCACAATCACTCCTGGGAAAGACAGTGATGTTTTTTGGCTCTCAGTAAAACTTCTCCTTCGTGATATGGAAGGAACGGCAATAAAGGAAGCACATCCCTTATGCTTATGGAATTTACATTGCAAAATATTTAAGATCTCAGTTTACCGCTGTGTGCACAGCATCTAGCGCATAGTACCCAATACTCAGTACAGACTCAATGTTTTTTTGCACTATCTTGAAATCATAAGGAAAAAGTGGGAGTATGATGAAAGAAAGTTCAAAGTGAAGTCACTATATTAGCCTAAAATAGACAAGCGTACATGTACTCATCTACAAATAGATGAGCCATGCATAAGGGATTTTTGTAATGACTTGTCTGTATCCTGAAACTTAATAGCCTATGGATAGATGCCTTGAGTTTTACATAAACAATGAGAACCCTGCCTGATGCAGGAAATGAACACATGTTCTAGCTTTCAAGTCAATTAGTGAGATATTCCTATTTCTTTTCTAGGTTAAGAAGCAAATCTGTTCTGATGCTATGCCAACTAAGTACATGATCTGATTGTTCCAGTTATCCTGTGCCAAAAAGAAGCAAAAAATGGGCTTTCCACGGATTATTGAACACAGTGGGTGTCAGTGTGCCTGAGAAACAAGCCACTATTAAAAGCTTTCTAGGCAATTTGAATCAGGTTGCTGAGCTTTGAAAAACATTCTACAGCCAAGTGTAGGAGACCAAAGAACTTGGAGAACATACGTGCTCTGAGCTATTTCAAAAAATGCCGCACTTAAGCTAATTGAGCTGTCGTCAGGGCAACACGGACATGAGTAACAGGAAGGTAGATTTCAGTAGAAGAGAAGAACAGGCAAGGGATGGAGTCACGTGCATTTGGAACACAGGACAAACATAAGCCCCGTTTATCTCAATAAAGTAAGCACAGTTGGGCATTCTGTGGGGCAAGATCATTTGCTGGAATTTAGATGAAGCCCAGAACAATCCATGGATATCAAATCCACACATAAGCCTCTGCTAGAATTGTGCCAGAGTAAGGGCAGTCCTACCATGCCACCCAGATATCTGGTTTCCAGGTGAATGAACTGAGGAAAGACCAAGAAATATATGGTGGGTAAGAGGTAAGAGAGAAAGTCTGTTTAAATTAAATCAGATCTCCTCATACATAAACCAACTCAATGACTTCTGAAGCTTCCTCTTATCTCTAACATACAATAATTGAATTGAAGAAATATAATAGTCTTGTTTCAGGAATAAGGAATAATTGTTTTAGCCAAAACATAAAAGATAAAAGAACTACCAGTGTGCCTATGTCGTGTATTGCTAATGCTATTTTCTTCTTCTGGTGCTGAATTGTTGGTTCTCCTGGGGAAAGCTCTAGGGTGGAGCTAGCAAAATATCAAGATAGCAGGTATACATGTGGCAGCCAAGAGGTGCCTTGCTTAGCTCTCCCTTCGAGAGAACTTGCTTCAAGGTGGGGGGTTGGGGAACACTCTCCAGCTGCTCTGTCTTCAGATGCACTGGGGCATTCATGCAGAAGCTACCTCTTCCCTGGACTGCTCCCAGCCTGCAACTGAGCAAGGCAGAAGTGGTAGCACCATGCCATTCCTGCAGAACGTGGGTTTCCTCTAGTGGGTCAACTTTGCTCCAGGGCTTGCCATCTGCATGCACACGACGCTGTCAGAGGTTGCTGGATGCTGAGGCTCCTCCTACCAAATCATGTGACTTTGTCTCACCTGTCACAGGTGTCACAACTGCCTCTCAGTCTGAGGATCGTCCTCTACATATTCCTGCTCCCTCTCCCCTCCTCTCCCTTATTCCTTCCCATGTCCCCCACCCCAGTCTCTCAAATATCTACTTTCATCTTCAAATCTGCTTCTTGGAAATCATGAACAAAAGAGGATTTGCATTTGATAAGATCCAAAGAGAGAAGAAGGGGATAATCCATATATTTCTGAAACTGGTTACCAGGTGCTTTTTTTTTTTTTTTGACTGAACACCTGATGGAGCTGTTGGAATGAAGTCACATATGAGGTGATACAGACTGGCTTCCCCTTTTGGGGCAGTGCCCAGGAGGGACAGATGACTCATCATAGTGTGGATGGATGGGGGTGGAGGATCCTGGCTCCATCTTGGAACACAGGATAATTAGGGGTGAGAAGGAATAGACAGATCCACACAAACAACCTGCTCCACCTCCAAGTTTCTCAGCTGAGCTTGAGGTGAGACATCAGCTCAGCAGAGAAAGACTGAGGTTGTGCGCTCAATTCCCTTTGCACTTTCCATTCGGGTTTTGGGGTATATTTCTGGGACCCCTCATGTCTTTCAGGGTTTCCCTGAATATTCATTAGTCCAGCATCCCTGGAGGGAAAAGATGAGGGACTTTGCTTGGTTTCGTACCAGGCAAAGCTGTAGACCATCAGAGCTTCAGACCATTCCCTTGTTTGTAGCTGGGCCAGTGTGAGTGTGAAAAGCAAGGGAGGTGGGGCAGAGGGACCGTGGACAGCACCCAAGTGTGAGTCACATCTCCACCATCAGGTTTAGAACCTATGAACTGGAAATCTTAGAAAATCATCATAAAATTATACTGGCTTTTTTGCCCTAAGCACTGTGGAGACAGATTCTTGCAGAAATCTTGCCTTGCCCAACCCAGCCCATGACCTTCCCCACCACAGGGAAAGCACTGGTTAAGGAGGTGATTCAGAGTTAAGAGGTGATTCAGAGTTAGGTTCCCCAGGTGCGTCCATTGATGAGTGACCTCTCCTTGGCAACAGGGACATACTTTTGTCGTTCAGGGAGAAACACTGAGCTAGGAGGTAGAAGCTCTGGGCCCTGCTTTTGATGCTTACACAAACTTACTTTGTAGCTTTGAGCAAGGCAGCCAGCCTCTCCCCCTCAGTGTCCTGTGCAGCCAAACGGATTGACCTGTGAGGCAATGCGTGTCCCAGCTCTGCCGTTCCTCATATCACCAGTCATTGTCCTAATAAAAAACTGGCACTGGAACATAGCAATGCAATTGCATGTTTGAAATCGAGGTTGTCCTTGTAAGTCTGGGTAGCCATCTTTGCAGCATCGGCTCTTTCAAAAGAAAACTATTTTCAGAAATATTTCATTTGAAAAATCCCCATTTATCAGGAAGACTTAATAAAGCAACTTCTGTAGACACAGAAGCACATTATCGCCTACTTACTTCAGAGTTAGGTTACCAGGCATATTCCTAAAAAAAAAAAAATAAAGCATATTACTTTAGTCAAACTTTACAGAGAAGATAGATTGCCTTCAAAGAGGTTATTATAATAAAGCTCATAATTTTTTCAAGAGTATGCTAAATATATACACAAAATATGTGTGTGTATATATACATACATATATGACTGTATGTATATCTATACATATATATGGCTATGTGTATGTGTATGTATACAGACACACACATATATACACATATACACACATATTTATATATATGTGTGTGTCTATATATAGACATACACATAGCCATATATATGTGTATATACACATACAGTCATATATGTAGGCATATACATATACACATACACACACATACATACATATATTTATTAATGTATTTAACTTCTCCAAAACATTAGCTGCCAAACAATATTAGATTAAAATATTTTAAATTGAAAAGTTATTCAGAGAAAAATAATAGAACTCACAAATATCTCAAATAGCTTATGCTGACCTTTTCCCTGAACTCTGAACATGAAACTTTATGAAGAGGAAAATAGTGCGTATGCAGGACAAGCATGAGAAAGACGACGTCTCGGGAGTGCAGAGTAAACGTAGCAGGCCCATTGTTCAAGTTAAATGAGTGCGATTATCTGATAGCCATTTGTACTTCCCGTAAAATACCCTTTCTCCTCCATATTTGTTGCTACTAGTGTTGAGAGTGAGGTCTAATGTTTTCTGCTTTTAATCCCTTTGTCAACCATCAGCAGAGAGCGGAAAAACAAAACGGAATCACTTAGGTTTGGCCTTCATATTACCCTCTTCCCAGTTGCACTGAGAGGGGACAGATGGGTGACCAGCTGTCGTGACACAGGACTAGGGTCACGGTGCCCCCCGCACACAAAGCAGCCAGCACTGCCTCTTCCTCTCAACACCCCAGCGAGGCTCTCAGGCCTGCGTCACTCACGCTCACCAGTGAGGCTCCAATGCTTTGTCTCAACCCAGGAATGTTGAAGGCTCTGGTTCTCTGCAGCGGGTTAGGAAGCATTTCACCGCTGTTTGCTTCTATGCATGCCCTGTTCAGCAGCCACTCTGTGAAGAGGAAACCTCAGTAACAGGCGGGGGAAGGGCGCTGCCACGGATGCAGTTCTGCCCTCCAGGGAGGTGATGTAAGAAAAAGGACTTGATAAATTGCAATCTCCCTCCGGAGGAGCGCCCCATCAAGAGAATGAAGAGGACTGCCTTCAGGAATGACACCGCCTTGCAAAAATTTTAACAGTGAGAAAATTATGAAAGTGACAAGAGACCTGACCTGATGGGCGCGACGCTGTCTCGCTTCTAAATCTCCAAGCTGCCCTAGTTCATTCCTGGGCGCCGGAGGAGCTAACTTTGTGGGGAACTCAGTTCATTGCTTAACTTTGAAACAAAGATGATAACAGCCCTTTCCCAAAACAAACCGTCTTCTTGTCTGGGGGCCAGACTACCTTTGTAGGACTAACAAATTTGCCACAAGGTTAGAATTGATGGTTTAGGAGTCACGCAGCTAAACATTGCAGCCAGACACGTTCAGAGTGATTTGAGTAATCATAAAACTCCGGTCTCCCGCACAGCCAGCTCTGCAGCTCTGCATGATTTATTTATTTATTTATTTATTTATTTATTTATTTATTTTTGAGATAGAGTCTTAAAAAATAGGCTGGAGTGCAGTGGCACAATCTCTGCTCACTGCAACCTCCGCCTTCTGGGTTCAAGCAATTCTCCTGCCTTAGCCCCCTGAGTATCTGGAATTACAGGTGTGTGCCACCACACGTGGTTAATCTTGATATTTTTAGTAGAGACAGGGTTTCACCATGTTGGCCAGGCTGGTCCCGAACTCCTGACCTCAAGTGACCCTTTCTCTATGGCAGTTCCTGTCTAGATAGATAGACTGTCTGGGCAGCCGGCAAGGAGAACCTGTTGGGTGGTTAGAGGAATAGGTCGGAACAATGTGTACCCTTTTCTTCACAACTCAAGATGATTTATCAATCCCATTTTACAAATTAGTTGAATGCGGGACTATCTTAACTGCTTGTTCCAGTGCTTATTCCAAAGTGGAGTCTCTGCACATTTATACCTTGTTGGTGGGAATGCAAATGAATTCAGCCCCCATGGAAAGCAGTTTGAAGATTTCTCAGAGAACTAAAAATAGAACTACCATTCGACCCAGCAATTCCGTTGATGGACATACACCAAAATGAAAATAAATCGTTCTACCAAAAGACACCTTGACTCATGTTTATCACAGCACTATTCACCATAGCAAAGACATGGAATCAACCCAGGTGCCCATCAGTGGTGGAATGGATAAAGAAAATGTGGTACATATACACCATGGAATGCTATGCAGCCATGAACAATGAGACTATGTCCTTTGCACCAATATGGATGCAGTTGGATGCCATTATCCAAAGTGATTAACTCAGAAACAGAAAACCAAATATCAAAAGTTCTCACTAATCAGTAGGAGCTAAACATTGGGTACACATGGACGCAAACATGGGCACAACCAACCCTGGGGGGCTAGGTGCAGTGGCTCACGTCTGTAATCCCAGCACTTTGGGAGGCTGAGGCAGGCGGATCACTTGAGGTCAGGAGTTTGAGACCAGCCTGGCCAACATGGTGAAACCCTGCCTCTACTAAAAATATCAAAATTAACCAGATGTGGTGGCACACACCTGTAATTCCAGCTACTCAGGAGGCTGAGGCAGGAGAATTGCTTGAACCCAGAAGGTGGAGGTTGCAGTGAGCAGAGATTGTGCCACTGCACTCCAGCCTATTTTTGAGACTCCATCTCAAAAATAAATAAATAAACACTGGGGATTCCAAAAATGGGGAGGGTACCATAGTGGCAACGGTCGGAAAACAACCTATTGGGTATTATGTTCACTACTTGGGTGACAGGATCAGTGGGAGAGCAAACCGCAGCGTCATGCATTACACACATGTAACAAGCCTGCGCATATCCTCCCTGACTCGGGTGTGGTTTCTCATGTGTAGGAGGAAACATTTTACAAATACGGATGTGAAAATATGAGTTTTGATAATATGAATTTGAAAGTATCAATGTCATAAAAACATCAGCAAGAATCTTAAAATAGTAAAAGCTTCAGCATACACGGAGCCATCTGGAAGGCTAGCTGAATTACAGATGCCTGGGTGTCACCCCAAAGTCTTCCATTCAGTAGGTCTTTGGTGCGGCTGAGAATTTTCATTTCTAGCAAGCTCCCAGGTAGTGCTGATGTAACCGGTCCAGAACCACACTTGGGTTTGTTTTTTTGTTTTATTCTATTCTACTTAGCAGATTTTCACAATGCTTTCTAAAGGGCCTTGGAATAATGTTGGTTCCATTTAGAGACCTATAAACCCCATTCCATCCTGGTTTAATTACTCTAATAAGTAGGCAGTTATACATTTTATATTTTTTACTTTAATTTTGTTATCTGCCTTAACAATAAAACTTTCCTTCATCCTAAATAACTATTATAAATATAAAAAATACACTTTATAAAGAGGACCTTAATTACCTTTGATATTCTGATATAACACACAGGCTTAGCATCTTAAGACTTAGATCTTAAGACCTGATGTTTAAGACAATGACTTAAACATATGCTTTCAATGAACATTAAAAAGTTGCCACTTCAACAGGCCAAATCATTCCAAGTATTTTGAAATGTTTGGTTTGAGGAGTTTGTCATGAGAAGCATATTAAATACATATAGATTCCATTTTAATATAATAATGGCCAGTTTATTGAACACCTTTTTTGTGCCAGGTATTCTTCCACATTGTTGTTATTATTATTGAGGCAGGGTCTCACTCTGTTGCTCAGGCTGGAGTGCAGTGGTGTGATCTCGGCTCACTGCAGCCTCCACCTCCTGGACTCCAGCGATCCTCCTGCCTCAGCCTCCCGAGTAGCTGGCACTACAGGCGCATGCCACCACATCCAGTGAATTTTTTTGTGTTTTTTGTAGAGATTGGGTTTCACTATGCTACCCAGGTTGGTCTCAAACTTTTGGACTCAAGCAATCTGCCTGTCTCAGCCTCCCAAAATGCTGGGATTACAGGCATGCATACATTATTATGATTATTTTTAATGAAACATTTTTAAAGAGAATTTTAATGGTGGGATCTTGCTATGTTGCTCAGGCTGAACTCAAAATCCTGGGCTCAAGTGACACTTCTACCTCAGCCCTCTGAAGCTGAGACTACGGGCTCACACCACCACACCTGGCCTCTAGATTCTACTGAAACACAGATAATGTACCAAAATTTTCAGGCTCTTACCATTTTCTTTGGTAATTCTGTATTTTCCCAAGGTAAAAAGGTGCTTCCCAATTTATGGAAGATAGTAAGCTCTCTCCCTGTTAATTCAGGTTACTTAAGACTGGGAGTCTTTGCACGATCATGGTGGGATGGATACATGGAGCCCTGTGTCACAGTTGTCATTTCATGCACTTTAAAATGTAATAAGCGTTGGCCTCTTTAGTCCTGTAGCCTGTTCCTCTGGCTTGAAGTTTCATACACATAGCTCCTCGATTCTTCTCTTTATTCACAGAAATCTGCAAATTTTTTCCAGGTGGATGACCTGATAGAACTTAACATTTTTTTGTTTTATAGGATTTGTAAATATATTTTTCCTTGACTTCTTAAGACCATCGTACCATCTAAAGACAATTGATGGAATCTCAAGATATTTACAAGTGTAGTTTTATATTAAGTGGTAAAGATGCTTTTCATGATGTGAGTCTGCGTTCTTTCATGGACTTAAGAGCTTACAATTCTGATGAATGTTTAAGATGATATTCAGCTGAATTTCGGATAGCTCACTTGGCTTTCTCTGACTTGACGTTACAATTTATGAGGCCATTCTAACAACGGATACACATATGCAAACATTTATGCATAATGGAGAAATTTGAGCTCACAGGCCCACTTTCCATTTTGTCTCCTCAAAAAGTGTAAATTGGTTGGAATAGAAAGAGA